GGCTGTTATATTTTTAACTGAACCACCCAGTTATATTTTTTTTTTTTTATTTTTTTTTTCAACGTTTATTTATTTTTGGGACAGAGAGAGACAGAGCATGAACGGGCGAGGGGCAGAGAGAGAGGGAGACACAGAATCGGAAACAGGCTCCAGGCTCTGAGCCATCAGCCCAGAGCCCGACGCGGGGCTCGAACTCACGGACCGTGAGATCGTGACCTGGTTGAAGTCGGACGCTTAATCGACTGCGCCACCCAGGCGCCCCCCACCCAGTTATATTTTTAAAGGTAAAAAACAAAACAAAACCCAATGGAGTTTTGCTATAGAGAGCAACAACTATTCAAAGACATCAGTAAAGGGGCACCTGGGTGGCTCAGTCAGTTAAGCATTCAATTCTTGGTTTCAATCTCACAGCTTCGTGAGCTCAAGTCCCACATCAAGCTCCACACTAACAGTGCAGTGTCTGCTTGGGATTCTCTGTCTCTGTCGCTCTCTGCCCCTCCCCCACTTGCACTGTCTCTGCCCCTCTCAAAATAAACAAACTTTAAAGAATTAATAAAAAAAAAAAAAGACATTAGTAAATAAGGATTCTAAGAAGCATCATCATGCCTTTAAATTTTACTTAATGATAGGGGCGCCTGGGTGGCTCAGTCAGTTAAGCATCCGACTTCGACTCAGGTCATGATCTCACAGTCCATGAGTTCTAAGCCTCGCATCCGGCTCTGTGCTGACAGCTCAGAGCCTGGAGCCTGCTTCGGATTCTGTGTCTCCCTTTCTGTAACCCTCCCCCATTCATGCTCTGTCTCTCTCTGTCTCAAAAATAAGTAAACATTAAAAAAAATTTTTTTTTAATTTTACTTAATGATAGGTGATAAGAAAATTCTGTTCGCATTAGATATGATTTCCAAACAATACAACCGAAAAACCATAAGCAGAATAAAACAAACTTCCTGCTATTAATTTTTTTTAAAAAGGCAGTTTACCTTCAGTCACATTTAGATCTTCTTTCACTGATGTTCTGTAGAATCTTAGCTTTAACTTTTTTGCCAGTGCCTCAGCTTCCTCACTATATATAAATTAAAAGAAAAAAAGTGCTTACAAAGGTACTTTCTGATAGCTTGTTTTAAAAAATCATATTTATTTTATTTACTGAATACAGCTTGAGGTTGGGGGGGGGGGGGTGGTGAGACCTTCCAGACCAGTTCAAAGCTATGTTCTCAGTACCTGAGCAGAATTTTTAGTTTTCAGTACTCTTGTAGAATAAATACCATTATGCTGTCACTTCTATAGTCCCAAACTCTAGGCTTAAAATAGCTAAATATCACTTTTTTTATATAATACTTAATTTTCTCCCTTGTCTTTAAAAACATTTGAATTTAACTGCACCCTGATAATCTTACACTGCACTCCCTTCTTCACTCTTGCTCACTATGAAACCACTTTGCTGACAAAGCCAAAGTTACTGTATTAACAACTGTGTCTACAAGAGGGGACTCCTAACTGTAGTTTTATTATGACTCCTGATCTTAGTTTTATTAAGACTGTAGTAGCTCTACTCTAAAATGGTTCTCAAGGATTCCACCCCATGCCTCACCCTCCTCCTGGTCTTCACATCCTTGTATAGTTTCCTCCCCCACTGGAATCGAGGTTGGTCTGTGTCTGTGTGATCAATAACACACAGAAGTGACAGCGGTGACTTCTGAGACTAGGTCATAAGAGACATGATGGCTTCTGCTTTGCTCTGTCTTGAATCATGGGATTGGGGGAAGCCAGTTGCTATGTTGTGACAACACTCAAGCAGCCCTGGGGAGGTCCACATGGCAAAGAGCTAAGGCCTCCTGATAACGGTCAAGTGATGAGCCAACATGGAAGCAGGTCCTCCAAGCCCCAGTCAAGCCTTTAGATGACTACAGTCCTCAGCAACATCTTGACTGTAACCTCATGAAAAACCTGAACCAAAACCACCTAGTTAAGCCACTCCCAAATTCCTGACCCAAAGAAACTGTGAAATAACAAATTTTTGTTGTTTTAAGCCATAAGTTTTGGATTAATTTGTTACACAGCAACAGATAACTAATATAAGAACATACAAAAAAATAAGGTAAAAACTAAGCAAAGATTTTCAAAGCTAGCAAAAAGTTAACAACATGATGTACAAATACTTATAGAATTATCTAGATGCTCTGTTCACAAATTTGAGCCTACTTCTGAATATACAAAACAACGTGAATCTGAACTACTTACCCATTTAACTCATCCACACAGGATAGCTCCATGCTTTAGATATTAAAATATACAGGGATGTTTTTCTTAACATTCTTATTATATCTAGATTTGACTTAACATCAAGCGCTGGATTTGTGGTATAAGACAAAAGACTAGAATTCTAAAAGGGCCTTCAAAATTTATTCCTTTAATTTGTTCTACTTATGACTTAGTGCAAACCCAAACTGATCACACAGAATAGCGCACAGAAAATTTTAAGTATAAGGGTCTCTATAAAACCTCTCCTAAATTTTTTAAATGTATGTATAAATTAGAACAGGTTTTAACTATATAGAATTACCACCTCCCCCTCAAAAGTGGACACCTTACTTCTTTATACAAGAGTCATCCAAGAGATCAATCTTGTTTTGCACAAGCACAGTTGGTATATCTCCAACTTCAGCTACGACTTTCTCTCTCCAACTGGAAATTGCTTCAAAAGATTCCCTGTCTGTGGTTGAAAATACAAGCACACAAGCCTGGGCTCCTGTAAGGTCACAAAATAAAAATGTTATTTACATTAATGAAACAATCCTATATTTAAACAATTTTTTTAATTGAAGTATAATGAAGATACAATGTTATATTACCTTTAGGTGTATCAAGACAATTTTATGTAAATAAATATTGAGCTCACCTTTGTAGCATTCTGCTTATTTTTAACATTTAAACTCTATTTTCCAATTCAAAGAACCAGTGGTTCTCAAAATTATGTACAAGTCTCAAAACTATATTCTTGTTAACTGGAATTTAAATAAAAACTTGGAAGAAAAAAAATTCTCTAGAGAGAATGGTAAACTAAGTATGAATGATAGGCTGTTGCCAAGTTCTTCCTGTTAATATCTATCATTTGCTTAATTTCTTTTAGCACATATTTAAGAAAAATCTATGAGGAAAAAGTCATAATTTTCTCAGTGTATTAACTTTTTAAAAAATATGTATTATTTTATTTCAGTAGAATACCAGTGATGTTAAGGAACACGATTTAAAGACCAGCGCCAAGGGGCACCTGGGTGTGGTTCAGTCGGTTAAGCATCCGACTCCGGCTCAGGTCATGATCTCACGGTTCATGGGTTCAAGCCCTGCAAGAGGTTCTGTGTTGACAGCTCAGAGCCTGGAGCCTGCTTCAGATTCTGTGTCTCTCCCTCGCTCTGTCCCTCGCCTGCTCATGCTCTGTCTCTCAAAAATAAGTAAACGTTAAAAAATTTTTTTGAAACAAATAAATAAAAAATAAAAACCAGTGCCAAATATATATATATTTTTTTCATATACATGTTATATATATATATGCATATGTTATATATATATTATATATAACATGTATATATAAATTATATGTATATATATATTTAACTTTGGCACTGGTATATATATATATAAAACATGTATATATGAATTATATGTGTGTATATATATATATATATATAAAACATGTATATATAAAATAGAGAAAAAGGTTTAATTTCATTTTTTATCCTGTTTAATTGTATAATTCCCATTCTCACTGACAATATTTTAACTTCCAATTATCACATTAGGTTGATAATATCTAAGATTGAAAACAAGCAGCAACTTTCTAAAAGAAGCCCTTTTATTTTATTTTTAAGTAGGCTCTATACCCAATTAGGGGCTTGAACTCACAACCCTGAGATCAAGAGTCATATACTCTACTGACGGAGCCAGCCAGGCACCCCTGGAAGAAGCTCTTTCATAAATAATTAGATGTTGAATTAATCAGGCAGCATGGTGACAAAAGCAGATACATAAGTAACAAAAGAAAATCATCTTTGGGTTAAAAGGATTTCCTGGAATCGAGGCACGTTTTCTTACTGTTACTCTTTCCTTCCAGATTCCTCAGGTATAAGAATTTCCTAAGATTCAAAGCATACATACCTGGGCTACCAAGACACTCTGAAGGGAAAAAAGGGTTTACAAATCACCAAAGCAAAGCAAAAGAGGATGAAAGAGAAAACCACAGTTCACTACTACTGTAAAAGCAGAGGCTTCACGTGGGAAAATCTCCCCTACTCTAAAACAGGTTTTAAATCAAAGAATAAATTAATTACAAAAACTGTATAAATTACTACAAAATTGGGGCAGGGGGCAGGGTACAACACAGACAGAGGTACCCTGATACCTTCCAGGAATTTAAGGAGAAATAAAACTGATAAGATCACACTAGATACTGGTAAATAAATTTATATTTCCTCGAACTTTAATATTTACTTAAACTATAAATAAAACATTTAATTATACTTCGACTAAGAAACTATTCTTTTTTTTTCAAGACTTATTTATTTAAAAAAAAAAATTTTTTTTTTTAACGTTTATTTATTTTTGAGAGAGAGAGAAATAGAGCATGAACGGGGGAGGGTCAGAGAGACGGAGGGAGCCACAGAATCTGAAACAGGCTCCAGGCTCTGAGCTGTCCGCACAGAGCCTGATGTAGGGCTCGAACCCATGAACTGTGAGATCGTGACCTGAGCTGAAGTCGGACGCTTAGCCAACTGAGCCACCCAGGCGCCCCAAGACTTATTTTATTTTTTAACTTATCTCTACGCCCAACGTGACGCTCAAACTCACAACCCTGAGATCAAGAGTCTCACGCTTTGGCCTGCTTCAAATTGTGTGTCTCCCTCTCTCTCTTCCTCTCTCCTACTCACACTCTGTCTCTGTCTCAAAAATAAACTTAAAAAAAAAACAGTCTCATGCTCTGGGTGCCTGGGTGACTCGGTCAGTTGAGCATCCAACTCTTGATTTCAACCAAGGTCATGATTCTGGGATGGTGGGATTAAGCCCTGCATTGGGCTCCATGCTGAGTGTGGAGCCTGATTGAGATTCTCTCTCTCCCCCTCTGCCCCTGCCCCGCTCGTGCCTCTCTCAAAAACTACTAATTAAACTAAAAGAAAAAAATAAGAGTCTCATGCTCTACTGACTGAGCCAGACAGACATCCCAAGAACTGCTGTTTATTATAAAACTCTACTTAGCTTTAAACCTAGAATTTTATATCCAGTCGACTATTATTTGAATGAGGGCACAAAAGGGCATTTCCAGGGATACAGAGTCTCACTTTAAAAACAAAACAAAGGGGCATGTGAGTGGCTCAGTAAGTTAAGCATCTGACTGTTGGTTTCGGCTCAGGTCATGATCTCATGGTTTTTGATTTTGAGCCCCATGTTGGGCGCTTGCACTGATAGCTCAGAGCCTGCTTGCAATTCTCTCTCCCTCTCTCTCTCTCAAAATAAATAAATAAAACTTAAAAATGTTTAAATAAAATAAAATAAAAAGATGGCCCAGTTTCAAAAAAAACAAAAACAAAAACTCTTAGAAGTATATTTTAATAATAATGTAAAAAAAAAAAAAAAAAAAAACCACAACAAACTAAGCAGATGGTGCCAGAGATATGGGCAGTAAGAATAATTAAGAAAAGAAAAATGTTGTTTAAAAAAATCAATGATTGGGGAAACCGAGTGGCTTGGTTTGTTGAGTGTCAGACTCTTGATTTTGGCTCAGATCATTGATCCCAAGGGTCATGGGATAGAGCCCTGCATCAGGCTCTGCGCTGAGTGAGGAGCCTGCTTAAGATTCTCTCTCTCCCAGGGCACCTGGGTGGCTCAGTCATGACTCTGGCTCAGCTCATGATCTCTTGGTTCATGAGTTAAAGCTCTGTGCTGAGCTTTCAGCACAGCGCCTGAAGCCTGCTTCAGATTCTGTTTCTCCCTCCCTTTCTGCCCCTCCCCTGCTCGTGCTCTGTCTCCCTCTCAAAAATAAACATTAAAAAAAAATTCTCTCTCCCCCCTGCCCTGCTCACAAGCTCTCTAAAAATTAAAAAAAATCAGTGATCAACAGATAAAAGAAGAGTATGTCCATAACAACCCAAAATTATTTAGTGGACAACTTGGTGAAGAGACAACAGAGGAACATGGAAAAGTGCTAAAGTGCCAGTCTAAAGAGGAGGAACATGTAATATGAATATGTTAAAGCAATCAACGGAGTTTCACTGCAGCTGTGGACAGGTCCTGCCTGTTGTATCCACCTTGAAGCACACTGCAGGTGTGCTGCAGGTGGTACTCGGCTTTTCTGCCTCATGGCTTTTTCCTACACTTCAGAAAGACCCTTGGGTTATCCTATTTTAAAGGAATGGATACCTCTGGGGAGAAACTTGAATGCATGGGAGGTAGGATAAAACTTCAGCCTCACTATGGTGGGACCATCTTGAGGCATGTCTACATGGTTCCTCACAGGGATTGGTCCCCAATTGCCTACAGTAGTAATTAGCTCATTAATGCACCTGTGTAGGTTTTTTTCCCTTCCTTCCCCAGTCTCTCACTTCTTCCTGGGATCGCCTACCAGAAAAACCAGCCCCAGCAAGTTGTGCCAAGAACTATTTGGCGAATGATTGTGGGGGTGGCATTCAAATTAAGACAGAATCTTAAATTAAAGGCAATCACCATAAGAATAAAAAGGATTGGGGCTCTGCGCTGACAGCAGGGAGCCTGCATGGGATCCTCTGTCTCCCTCTCTCTCTACCCCTTCCCCACTCTCTCTCTCACACACAATAAACAAATAAACTTAAAAAAATTTTTAAATTAAGAAAAAGGGAAAGTATAACTATTAAACCTCAGGACAAAAGAAGATGTATCCAAAGTGACGGAGGAAAGAAAATACACACACACAAAACCCAAACAAACAAAAAATACAAAGCCTGAACCAAGATGACAGAAATAAGTCATGACAAGAGCAGTTACAATCTCAGATGGCTCCTCTGAAGCAGGATAGTTCAACTGACAGGAAGCCTTAGACTGGACGCTGCCACCACCTTAGCTTACTTAACCTAAATCAATTACCAAAAGGAAAAACCAAAAGCACAAGACAGACAACCTGGATTACTTCTGGAGATTCAATAATTCTGACAAATGATAGACAACTACTTATTTTAATTTCCTCTAACTGAACATTATCATCCATACATACAGATAAATACTCTGTGAAATTGTGATGCATTATGGTTCTTTTCTGCTTAGGAAACCAGCATACCTCCTCACCATAAAAGCCCTTTACAGTATATACTTTAAAAAGTTAAAGACCCTTTGTAGAAAATTTTTACGTAAGTACCAATAAAACAGATGATAAATATCAGATTCCAAGTATGTGTGGAAAGATCATTCTTTGCAGAATTTACAAAGGAAATGATCATAAATCCATTATACAACTTTGGAACTCCCTCAAACACTTCAAGAAAATTTTTTTTAAGAATTGAGACAAAGGGGAAACGATTTTTTCAGAGAAAATGCTATCCACTCCAACCCTTCTCTCTCATAAGTAGCATGATACATGTTCCCAGCAACTGGAGGACACTCTGGATTGATGGTGCTGAGATTCAAGGCTGGAAATGAGAGCAAAAGGGCAAGACCAACAGACAAAAAGAGAGCCACACTTGGGAGTAACTGCGCTCCTGCCAATGGCAAGACAAAGAATGCACACAA